GTAAAATCCCCTTGAATTGGTTGACTGGTTAAACATATTATTTAACTGATTTAAAGGGGTGCAGGTGGGGGGCCTGGAGCAGTCCCTGCAGGTGGGGGGCCTGGGCCCATGATGGATAGAGGCTGCTTGGGACGTCAGTGCAACCTCTGTTCGTGACTGGCCCTGTGGGTCTGGAGTTTCCCCCTGCCCACGGTGGGCAGGTAGCTGCTGCAGCTCCCACCAGGTGACCAGAACCAGTCAGCATCACCCATTAAGGATGATGCTTACCGGTTAACCTTTCACATTCCTAATAGATGCAGTATCATTTTGCCTCTTTAAAAGCTAGTGCGCTAACTTAAGTGACCAGTTCTTTCAGGTAGAAATTGCTGAAAAGTTTAAAATGTTTTACATTTTCAATTTATGAAAATAACTTACTCTATGATTTCTGGTAAAGGTTGATTTGATTTGGTATTGTGGGGCACCTGGTCTTCTATTTCATTACCTCAGGAATTGACTGTCACTGCTGTGGCTCCTGTCCATAGAATGTCATCCATAAGCTGCCTGAACAGATCTGATCTTTGAGAGATCAGTCAGCCGCCGCTGCTTTTGTCTATGAAGACAGGCCAATAAGTAATTTCTTTCTTCACTCATAGCAGCAGATCATGCTGGTACTCTGGTACATAGCATATTTCCAGTTGGAGTGAGATGTTAGCACAGACAAAGATTGTCAATTTCAGGCTGCTGGTGTGGATTGCTATGTGCATCAAGGTAGAATGTCATATGTGGTATTAATGTACAAAGGATATAGGATTTAAGGCAGGGCTACTCAACTTTGGAAGCCCCAGGGGCCACGATACAGCACATGCCGAGGGCCGCAACGTAAGTGTAATATATGTAAATAGCTTCTTTTACACTGACTGGCATGAATACAAAGATTAAGACAAGACTACACAGCACGCAGGCCCCATTTAAGTCAGTTCTGCTGATATTAATAAAACGCAATATTTACTCGATTTCCACCCATATGACAGCATTTTTAATGAGCAATTTAACTCATTTAAGGTTAGCAATTTAACTACTAAAACACACATCAACAGAAGACCATTATATTGATATATTGACTACTTTTTTGTTTTGTCTTCAGAATTTTAACAAAACAAACAAAAACTGCCAATACAATATTTACTGAAATATAAATACAATCAATGTGAAGTTAAAGGCACTGAGAGGAGAAGTGGCATGACTAGAAAAGGAATCCTGCTTTCCAGAATCCCTTCCTTTCCCCTGCTTGCCCCACCAAACACCAACTCCCATAGTCCTCACAGAGCAGAGACTGGACCCCCAAATCTAACCACCAGACCCACCTACAAGAAAGGAAAGAAGCCAGAAGCTTTAACGCCCAGTTCCCAGCTCTAACCCAGTGCCTCTGCCCTCCCCCAGAACTGGGCACCCTCCAGCCCTTCCATTCCAATCCAATGCCCCTCACAGAGCCAGGTACCTCCCCAACCCCCGCTCCAACCCAATGCCCTTCCCCCTCCCCCAGAGTCAGAGCACCCCCAGCCTCCCTGCTCTAACTAAATGCCCTTTTCCTCTCACAGAGCCGGGGACATAAATTCTAGCAGGATGAAGGGTAACGTCCTGGGTCTCACCAGAACCATGCGCTTTTCCCTCTTGGTGCTGGGGCCTGTCTGTGTGTAGAGCATTCTTGAATGGTCCATTGAAAGCATGTGCCGCCACCCCCTCCCTGATCCCCCTTTGGAGGGCAAAAAATCCCAGACATTTTTTGCCTTCTAAAAACCTGGCTGGACGGTGATTTAACATGTGAAAACAAGGCGATGTCCAGGAAAAACCAGACGTATGGTAACCCTACCCAAGCCTAGCACAGACCTTTCTCACCCCAGCCTTGCTGCCGCCTCGCCACGTCTCTCACTGCCTGGTTCCCCTGCTGCCTCTTGCTGCCCCCGGCTGGCCAGCAGCTCCTGTGCATTCACCGATGCAACCGGTCTCAGTGCCACGCTTTGCAGCTCTGCTCATGGGGAGGCGCTGCTGCTGTCAGGTGTTGCCGCTGTGGCAGATGCAGCAAGCCTGCTCTGCCACTGCCTTTTGCTGCAGCCCCCCCCCCCCCCCCCCCCAGCAGCTCCCATGCATGTGCCGATGCGGAGTGTCTCAGTGCTGCGCTGTGCAGCTCCACTTGTGGGGATGCGCTGCTGCTGGGACAGATGCAGCAGGTGTGCTCTACTGCTACCTTTTGCCTCCTGCTCCACCTTCCCACTGTCTGGCAGCTCCTGCTCACGCAGCCTGACTCAAAGCCTTGCGGCTCGGTGAGGGAGGAGGCAGACAGCGGCCTGGGAAGCAGCTCAAGGTGCCACAGGCCACAATGTTGAGTAGCCCTGATCTAAGGCAACAATTTTTTATATTCTAGTAGCACATACAGGCCTCCGCCATTGTGCCAGGCACTGTACGGACATAGTAAATGTTGGAAATCCAGAATCCTGCACCAAAAATGGACATACTGCTGTTCACAAGAGGGTGCAAAAAGAGTAGAAACCATAAATGGCACAAAGTAGAAAAATGATCGCACAAAGAATAGAACAAACCATTAGCATGTTAATGCTGGCACATATTGGAATGGAACAAAGGTGTTTTCTAAGCCTTGCTTTCTAGGTAAGGAGAATAGATATTATCCTTTTAGCAACCACTTTCCAGCAGAAAGGGTAGTATAGGCTCACCCTAAAGGGAGATACATCAGTGCTCTTGAGTTGGTGTTAGTGTTTGTGGTGGAAGCAGAAGTTGAATGAGAAATTAAGAATGCTCCCCTCACCTCCAGCCAATTAAAGAGAAGAGGAAAAAATTGGCAAAAAGGAAAATGGAAGCAAATTGCTTCATTTGTAGAGTTGACATGTTATATCAGCAAATAGTTCAATTTAAAGGGACTGTAACAACAGATTTCAGTTAAATTACAATTTGTAAAGTTACAATTGCAAAGCTTCCTGAAACTGAATTTTAAGAATAAATTTGACTTCTCTGCATTTTTATGTTGGTAAATAAAAATCAGTTAAGCAAACTTCACTTTTTTTTCCTGTGTCAGTCTTTCTTTGCCTCTCCATGCTGCAGTTTCAGATACAAACACTGAAGCAGGTTTCTTGTTTAAAACCTTACTTTGGTTGGATGTAAACATCCTTGCTTTAAATCAAATCTGCATTTGGGATTGAATTTGAACTGATGTGGGCCCTGGTTCCATAAAGAAATCTGTGCAGACTGATACTTACTTAATTTAGTGGGGCTCTGTGCAGACTCAAGGTTCTACACACCTCAAGCCAGTTGCATCTTCAGGTCTTCAGTCCTTTCAGTAGTTAGTTAGCTGGGTTGATGTGTGGAGATTCTCATTCTCTTTGCAAAGTTGTTTAATGAAATGTAAAGCCCACAAGTAGTAAGAGGAAGAAACTTAGTGATTTGGTAAGCTACTAGAGTAAGAGCGGAATTGTAGTATGTTATGTTTAAGTAAATAGTATTTAAAAATACACTAACTTGGACTGCTTGCAAAAGATTAACAGATTAGTTTTCTACATTTCTGCTTTCTGTGGTACATATTGGAGGAACTGTGGAATATCTTGGTATTAATTGTACCTATGAAGATGTCTTATTCTGTGTTTTGTTGACTGGAATGAAGGTAGGGAATAGCAATTTGAATTCTAATGGAAGAGACTTTTGTTCTGCAACTGGTAAAATGATTTTTTTTTATTCTAGACTATTTGTGCATCCTTATTAAAATGGTAGAACAATTGCCTATTGAAACTCCCAAACCATGATGTGATATACTGAAATTTAAAATACTAACTAGATTGAGGGAACTTTTACTTAGCAAAATATTTTCCTGTTTACTGAGTTTTTGGGTGCAAAATAGATCTTAATGCATTTCATTATTTAAAAATGGTGTTTAGTTCTTTGTTAGCAATGGCACCATAAGTGAATACCACATCACCTTAATCTTTCGGGTTCCATGCTGCATGGTAAATAATTAAGCAAGAAATAGTATGAGATTAATATTCCAGTTACCACATAGCCATCTGAGTTTCACATCTTGCTTAGCACTGCTTGAGAATTGCAACTACAGTTACCCAAAGAGCTGTACAGTGCCTTTGGATTATCTTGTCAAATTAAAAATGATAATTTGTGAGAATAGACCGTGATGTGATTAAACTGCCATACATGTGCTTCCATAATTCTTTTTCTGTAGTTGAACCATGGGGTCTTGGGATATCCTATTTCCTTGAGTAATGTGTTGGGTGTGTGTTTGTGTTTTTTAAACTGAAGCTTTGCTTCAAGTATTGCAGATCATATTAGTACTATAAACATTGCTGTCTAACGATTGTTGCTACTTTCCAAATAAATGTTTTAGAAAAATGCATGTTCTAAAGGCTACGTCTAAACGACAACCCACTGTCAGCAGAGGGATGTAAATTAGACGTATCGAAAGTGCAAATGAAGCTGGGATTTAAATATCCCGTGTTTCATTTGCATAATGGCAGCTGCCACTTTTTTCAAAAAAGGGGCTTTTCAGGGGGAAAAAAAAGTCAGTTTAGACGGGGCATTTTCTACAGAAATGCCCTGTTTTGAAAGTTCCTGTACTCCTGAGGGAATGCCCTGTCTAAATTGCCATTTTATTTATCTCCTCCACCCACCCACAAAAGCGGCAGCTGCCATTATGCAAATGAAGCATGGGATATTTAAATCCCGGCTTCATTTGCACTTTCGATAAGTCTAATTTACATCCCTCTGCCGACAGAGGAGTATAGTTTAGACGTAGCCAAAGTGTCTTCTAGAACAGCAAGAAAAAGTTGACCATTCTGATACTACTGTATAGAGTACTCTTATGTTTAAAGCTTCCAGTGTTGTAATATGAAAAGAATGAGGATTCAATAGACAGCTGAACGTGCATTTTTTTAATAAAGGAAGTAGAATAAAGTGACATCTGGACTACGCTCTGAGAGGTCTTTTGTTGTTGTTGTTTGTTGTTTTAGATGGTGATGGAATTTCCCGATAATGTGCTAAACCTCGATGGATATCAGAATAATGGTGCACAGTTAAAGCAGTTCATTCAGGTAAGTCAAATCCTTAAGTTTGCCAGCTTAAAAAATCGATGTGCCAGTTTTTTTTATCTACTTATGGTGACTGATAAACCTTTGAAGAAATGGTTTGCTGACTTGATGTATAGTAAAATGCCTCTTAGGCACTGGTGAACATAGGGATGTGAACCAGTAACCGTTTAATCAATTGCCTGGTAGGCTGATGCTTACTGGGTAACATTTAACCGTTACCTGAGAGAACCTGATGCCCATGAAGGGCTGCTCCAGCTCTGCAGGGTGTCTAGCCCACATGGTCTGGGAGAAAGTAGACAGTAGCCTCATGCAGAAGCGGCAGCACCAGCGGCGGGGGGCTGCTGCTTCCAGTCCCATGCGATGCTACTGACTCCCAGCCCATAAGCCAGCAGGTCTCCCCATTAAGGATGTTCAAGTAGCCCATTAATCTAAATTTAATAGTCAATGCAATTTGCATTGATTAGTTGATAAGGGAAGGGTGCCTCCGCCTAGAAGTGTAGCAACAGCCCCAGGGCTGTTGCTACACTTCAAAAGCGAAAGCACTGCAGGGAGCACGGGGTCAGCAGGGGACCCAAGCAGTCTCCCACTGGCCCCATGCTGCTCCCCACGGAGTTTCAAAGCGGCAGTGCCACATGGAGCCCAGGGTCAGCTGGAGTCCGCAGTTGGCCACAGGCTGCATGTGGCGTTTCAAAGCAGCCGCACTATGTTGAGTCCAGGGCCTGGCCCCAGGCTCCATGAGGCACTGCTGCTTTGAAGTCACACCCTTCTCTCCTCTCCCCCCGCCCCTCTTGATGCCTCTTTCTGATAGAGGCAGCAAGCAGTGGGGAAGCGACTAGTTGACTAGTTGTTAACATCCCTACTCCCCATTTTGCCGCTGCCACTTCTGGAGCCAGCAGCCCAACACGGGGTTGGAAGCAGCTGGACTGGAGCAGTTGCTGTCTGTGGCATGGGGGCTGCTCCAGCCCACCCACCCCCATTTACTCAGTTAATTGGTCAAATTTAATGTTTAACCAGTTAATTACATTGTATTTCACATCCCTAGTATCAAGATACTGGATACGTTATGCAATTATTGCTGCTTTATTTATACTTTGTTCTTTTCAAAGATGAAGTACCACGCTGTTTAAAACATACGTTTAGCAAAGAGACACTTTTGGTTCAAATAACAATGTAGGATTAGTACCATTTTTTAAGTGTTTCTCTTCATTCGTCTCTCTTTTCTCCCGCCTCCCCCTCCCCCTCTAACTTGTGCTTCGATATCAGGTTTTGTATGGTCAGTTTCACTGTCTCCCCTACATAGTCATCTCCCTTTCCTTGGATGTGTGGGTCTTCCATACAGCGTGAGAAGAAAAAGAACCACATTTATCTTATGCAGGTGCTCCAGCTCCTGAAACTAATAAGGCTACCCCTCTGAGACGTATTAAACAAAAAGATTGTTTCCGAGAAATTGTAGACACTTCATTTTAGTTATTAGCTTTATAATACGAACTTGCATATAGCTTTCAAGAAAGTGTTCTTAGTTGTGTCCTGTATTCTGAATAGGAGGACTTCAAATCTTAACTCTTTCGCCATAAGAGAAAACAGGTAGCACGAGATCACAGGTATTCTCTGGTTGATTCAAAACTAATATGTACTCTTTTTCAGTGGAAATATTGGGAGGTCAAGTAATACATTATAACTTGTTGGTTTAAAGTAGTTTTGAAGGCCTCAGGCTGAGGCAAAAGGCCCACAATTGGACACAACTTTAGCCAATCCAGATTTTCTCCTCCTCTTTCCTCTCTAAAAAATACTGGGTGGAGGGATGGAATAGATCTTTCCCTTTGGAAAAAAAGTCCCTAGCAGCAGCAACATCTCTTGGCAAAAAGATTTGGGGAGGGGATCTGGGGGGGAATTGCCTCATGTTTTTTCCAAAGCTGGGGCATAAGACTTAAAACAGTGTTGTTGGTTACAGAAGTTGCTTCTATGGCAATAAATAACACAGTTCTAGTCCCATGTTACTCCAGGTTTTCTCTTCTGTTTTGCCTAAAATTTTGGGTGTTGCAAATTGTATTCACTAAGATGTTTTGAAAGGAAAACTTTCTAGAAGTATAGAATCCTGTAATAAACAAGTTTTAAAAAAATCTTAATTCATTGCTTCTCTCTCTCTCTCTCTCAGCGACATAGCATGCTTAAGCAGCAGGATCTAAATATTGCCATGATGGTGACATCGCGTGAAGTCTTGAGTGCACTTTCTCAGCTTGTCCCATGTGTTGGCTGTCGTCGTAGTGTGGAACGTTTGTTTTCCCAGCTTGTTGAGTCTGGAAATCCAGCCCTTGAGCCCCTTACAGTAGGGCCAAAGGGAGTCCTTTCTGTAACTCGAAGCTGTATGACTGATGCAAAGAAGCTTTATACTCTATTTTATGTGCATGGGTAAGTTAAACTTCTTAGTGGCAAGTCAAAATACAGTCAGTCAGGTTATTTTTTTCAGAAAAAGGCATGGAAAAAATAAGTTAACTTCTATATAAATGGTTTGCCTAACTTTCTTGATGCAATTACTAATGTGGTGTTGGCACTGTGATCAGATGTCAATTAACTCTAAAGCCGGGCTACTCAACTTTGGAAGCCCCAGGGGCCACAATGATACAATGATACTCAAGCATATGCCAAGGGCCGCAACTTAAGCGTGGTTGGATATACGTGCAAATATATATGTAAATTGACAGGCGTGAATACAAAGCACTTCCCACAATGCCCCAGCGCTCCTGGCACCTCCTCCCTGGGGGGCTAGACACACCGACACCCTGTACCCGTCTGTTCCATCCAGCCCATCCGCTTGTGTCTTTCAATACTCACCCCACCTGGGACATGCCTTGCCATCATGAAGTCCGTTTCCAGTGGAGGCCATGTTCAAAGGATCCTACCCACAGGCCATGTGCTGAGTCCCATGTAAACCCAAACTGCACTGCAGGCCGCAAACAAACGGGCTGCGGGCCGCATGTGGGCCACGTGTTGAGTAGCCCTGCTCTAAAGCAAAGCTGAACAGGAAATTGTGTGATCTGTTAAGCTATAAAAGTTGAAACTAGCTAGTATCTCAGATGACTAGTTCATAGGCGTCTGGTATGTAAGTCCGGAAAAGGCTTTGCCTTCCCAAACCACCTGGCATAGCCTCGCCCACACTCCTCCCCCCAAACGCCTGCAGTAGGTATTCTGGGGCAGAGTGTTGCTGCTTCCAGCTCCCGTGCTCCAGGGCTGGAGAGGCAGGGCGAGGCTAGGCCATGCGGCACGCCCTTCTCTGGGGTTGGGGAGGTTGGTGCCATGCCATGTGCCTTCTCTCCACCTCCTGGGGGTTGGGAGGCTGGGGCCATGGTGCATGCCCTCTGCCCGACTTCTAGGCTGAGGAAGCTGGGGCTATACTACACACCCTCTGCTCTCCTTCCTCCCTGGGGCTGGAGAGACCATGTGGAGTGCCCTCTTTCCTTCCCCCTGGTGCTCTGGAGAAGGAGAAGCTGGGCTGGGTTGCGCAGCGCGCCCTCTTCTGGGCTGAGAGAGGCTGGGGCCATGTCACTTGCCTTCTCCCTGGGGCTGGGGTGAGTGTCCGCCTGCTCCTCTTCTCTCTCCGTGGTTGGGAGGAGATGCATGTGCATGGCGCACTGCCCTGCCCTCCCCATGGGATCAGAGAAGAGGCAGGGCCTCAGCAGGAGGGTAGGGCTGGGGGCTTGCCCCCCCCAGCCGTAACTTGGCCAACCGCCCATGGTTAAGTTGAATTTATTGCTCTTTCCACGTTTGGGGTGGGTGAGAGGAAAGAATCCTTTTGTGCAGGGGTGGAGAAACTTTTTTGGGTCTAGGGCCACTGACCCACAGAAAAGTCAGTCAGGGGCCACACACAAGTGAGAAGCCCAAAAAGAAAAAGGACACACTCTGATGTGGCCCCTGACTGAGGAGAAAGACACTCCTCACATGCCCCTTGTACACCACTGCCTCATGGGGCCCAGATAAGTAGCTTCGGGTGGTCCAGTCCCACAGTAGGCGCGGGCTCCCGAGTGCTGTGGCAGGAGGGAGCAGTAAGCCTTGGGAGCAGGATCTAGGCAAGCCTGGGGCTGCATCCAGCCTCCAGGCCTGAGGTTCCCCACTCTTGCTTTAGTGCAAGAGAGGTAACATTATATAGGCAAAGATAATAATGAAAGCAGGAAGAAAAGCTTAAAGTTAATAAAGGAGCAGCACAGTTTTGTTTCACTGATAGTATCTGTTTTCATTTATTTTTTCCTGGATAAAATTGTAACTAATTTTAAAAGTAATGACTAAAATGTATTTACATAGGTCCAAATTAAATGATATGATAGATGCAATTCCAAAAAGTAAGAAGAACAAGAGATGCCAGTTGCACTCCCTAGACACTCACAAGCCAAAGCCTTTGGGGTAAGTTAACTGACCTTGAAGTCATTAAAGTGTTGTGTACGTTAAAAATCTGAAAATGTCCAAAGAATAGAACTACATATGAGTATTTTTTTCACTTTCTTTTTTGTTATGAAGAGATATTGAACATTCTATAGATATATCTAAATTTTATAGGCAGAGAAGTGGGGGACCAGCAATAAATAATGTGGAACTGCATGCATAGGTTAAAACCCTTTTAGCAGCCTGGCATAAACAAAATGTTATAGTTATAAAACTGTTTTCAAGGTCATATTCTATAGCTGAAACGTCATGACTTACTTTGAGAGTAGAAATTTTCACCAGAAAAATCTGAAGACTTGTTTTCTGATAAAGTTTGGCCCCATCTATATTGGCTTTATAACAATATTTTTAAAAGTCATCCACAATGCTACTGTTCTTAAACATGGTTAGAAAGCCAGCCCAGATGAGCGCTTGCAGAGACTAGAGCAAAGTCTGTCTTTTAAATAATAAAACTTCTAGAGCTCTCACTATTACTGTTATCTTTGCCAGACAGTTTACTAGATTTTGTGCCTAGTTAGCTGTCAAACTGAAACAGTTGTACAGCGGTGCAGAGCTCATTATGTTAGCAAATGTTAATTTGAAACCCAGATATGTTCACTTTCCAAGCCTCTGAACCACTTCTTCAAAATCCAGCCAATCCATGTATGTCTTAAACATAGCAATATTTGTATATTGTTAACTTGAATTGTTAGCTTTTCAAGCTAACAGTATAAAATATCTTTGAGTTTAAGACACAGACAGATGCATTGGTTGGATTTTGCAGAAGTGGTTTAGAAGCCTAGAAATTGAACAATATCTGGGTTTCAAATTACATTAAGCTATTTCATAATGGGTGTAGTTGAGCTTTTTTATTTTGACAATTTGTTTTGCTAGTTTTGACCATCTGATGGAATGGAGGGAATAGGGCTTTTTTTGTTACTTTGGAGGGAGGAAAAATATTATTATGAAGATGTTGATGAAGATCTGATCTTCTTGCCAGGTCTTTCTTTGGAATAGCACTGTAAGCTTACCTTGTTGTTGTGAAGAGTTTACATAGTGTGGTCCCAGAATTCTTATAGGAATCTGTAATTTAGATCTTTAAATATGCAAAAAAAACCACCCCATTTTACAAAATATTTTGATAATTGTTTTCCACTGTACTGCAAATGTGAGCTAAAAATTTGCTTACATAATAACGGGCAGCGTGTTAGACTCCTGGTATTTTTATGTACTATAATATTTGTTTAAATCAATAGTTTAGTTCAGTGAGCTCAGTATTTTGGGGCAAGACTACTTGCCACAAAATATCAAAGTTCAAAATCTGGGAGTAGCCCATCATATGCCATTTCCCATGTCAGATCTTACAGGTACAGTTGGGATGTGAAGTTACTGCAGTTTTCTACTGCCTCAATAATTAGCATATATGATATTCGTATCAAATGAAGGAAGACTAACTTTTCGGAGTGACTCATTCTGTTGTTACAGCCCCTTTGCCCAGGTAGCTGTTCTCACTTTGACTTGAAATATTTTTTCTCTCTAATCTGAATCTTCTTAATAAACAGCTAGCCCTAATTTGACCCCAAGCCTCTGGACAGCACTCAGATGTGTTTATGCAGATTAGTAGCTCTGAGTCTTTTCATTCTACTGAATTGCTAACCTTTTTTATCATGGCTGTTTGCTAGATAATGCATCTTTACGAGATTGAATTTTTTGACCCCATGGAAAGAATTTGGAGGGACCAAAAAACCCCAAACCCCCAGTTCTTTGGAGGAAAAAACATGATACTAATATTACAGTTGCAAACCACCATTCTGTCAGCCTTGCTTGTATGTTGTGTCCCTTTCTCGTATCCTTTGTCTGTTTAGCTATATCTTCAGCATAATGATTGTTGCATGTTTTTTGTACGGCACCTAGTCCTGCAGGGCCTCGGTCTTGTTTGGCCCCTAGCTACTTGCTGGTACTACAAAAGATAACATATATAAATATAAATTAGATTAGTTTTCATGTGTGGTAGAACCTTTCTTCAAGTTTCTTCATACATCTGTGTGAAAGTGCAAAATTAATTGAATGCAGATATGCACCATTTTATGAATAAAGATATATAGAATTGTGTACGTAGTATAGCAGTATAAATAAGCTCAAATAAAGTTAACCACATAATGTATTCAAAATGTGCTAGCATAATTTTGACTCGTTTGAACTGTGTAGAACTTGAAGTATTAAAAATTCCTAATATGCAGGAGGTCAGATTATCTGATCATTGTAGTCCCTTCTGGCCTTAGACTGAAGACATAATCTTCTTTGAAATGTATTGGAACCTTGCAAGTATCAGTTGTATTCTGTGTTTTTAGCAGCATAAGCAGCATGTCCGCTTGATCATGAAGTTTCAGAGTATAGGGCAAACTTTTATTTATACAAATTTATCTTTTTTTTATGTTCATTCTCTGAGAGGCTGGGTGGGAGGATGGAAATAAAATTGAAATATATATGCTAGGGATGTGAAAAAACTGCCTCCCAGTTCACATCGACTCCTGGAGAGCCATCTGCCTACCTTCATGTAACCATTGAAATTTTTGCCTCTTACACATTTACTTGATTAAACACGTTTTAGCATCCCTAATAGATGTACAGTAAAACTCCCAACTGTCCAGCATCCAGTGGTCCGGCACTCCTGATAGTCCAGCACCAACTGGAACCCGGAAGTGCTCCGGCCAGCTGGACAAATGGAGCTGCTCTGCCCCCGCCAGGGTCAGAGCAGCTGGGGTGTTGCTGGGTTGGTCCCGCAGCGCTGCCCTCTCCCATGCTGCGCAGTTCCCCGCTGACTCCCCCTCTTTCCCCCTCCCCCAACCCCTCATAACCCCCTTTCCGGTACTCTGACATATCTGATAATCCGGCACCCCCTGGGTCCTAAAGGTGCCGTATTATCAGAAGTTTACTGTATTCTTTTCTCAGTATGAACTTGAGATAATAGTAGCTACTAGCTAGTAGGTATGTTAGATATCGTGTATTTTAATAGTCAGGTAACTGTATAAAATCCTACCGGTTACACAACTATTCTTTAGTCCCCTGGGCAGGGCCAGCAGCCAGTGCACTCCTGGCTCCAGTCCTGGGGAGCCCCCTGCCAGCCTACACTGCTGCCTGTGAGGGAGGGGAGCCAGTCCACAGGAGGAGCTAGTACAAAACCACCTCCCCTTGCAGACTAGATGCCTGCTGCCCTGCACTGCTGCTTCTGATGCAGAAGCATCAGCATGGTGTGGCAGCAGCCCCTATCCTCGGGAGGTCTAAGCTCCCCACAAGCAGTGGCTTCTCTTCCAGGAGCTCAGACCCTCTCTCTCCCGCAGACTGGGGCTGTTACTGCAAAGTAGCCTTTACCTGCGGCTGGCTCAGGCTCACTGCAGACAGAGGCTGCTGCAGGAGATGCAGAGCAGCCACTGTCTGCGGGGATCTCCAACCCCCGGCAGACAGCTTCCTGTCTTCTCCCTTCCCCTCTCACTCCCCATTGCTGCTGCCTTGAATAGCAGGGGGCATGCAGCAGCGGCTCCTGCTGGCAAGGGGGGGGAAATGCGAGTAGTCAACAAGATTAATGCGAGTAGTCAACAAGATTAATCTATAAACCTAGGCTTATCAGTTAATTGTGTAGTTGACTACTTGTTGATATCCCTAGTAGCTAGTCATTAGTTCCATTTCTGACCAGATTAAATATTTCAATAAGGATTATATATAATTGATAGTACTCAGTGTTTTGTTGCAAATCCAAGGGAATATGAAAACAACTTCAGTCTTTTGCACTCTGGTTTCTGTGAAATGAATTTTCAAAAGCAGCGATGCAGGCTGTTTAAATTGCATGGCCTACACTTCATTTAAAATATACTGATCAGTATAGTACTGCATATACTGCTATATAATTAAGATACTAGCAATATTGTGATCAACCCTGCTAAAGCTGCAGTTTTGAATCAAGGTAAATGTATTAATTGCTTAACTGAGGAGATGGGAAATAATTTTTCTCTCCCAGAACAAATAGTTGTGAATGATCAGCTGACTTTTTTTTCCCCCTTTGCAAGAAGCTTTGGGTTTTAAATAAAATCACAACGTTGCATGATGCATGTTGATAAATATAACTTGGAGTGTTAAATAGTTTTCAATAATAAAATTTGTAACTGTGGTGTCTATTGGCTAACAAGTAGTTACGAGCCTATAGTAGTAGTACCTTTTATACAGTTCAAGTGATATGTCATTACTGTGTTCCCTTTTGGGCTCAGAAGATAAGTTAGGCTCCTGTTTCAGTATTAAAGATTATCAAAATAACTGTTCTAAAATAGTTATTTTTGACACCTGCTTCAGGAGGGACACTTGTAAACCTGGTCTGCATCTAAAACGTATGTCGGCATATCTGCATCTCTTAGGTCTATGAAGAATTACACTTCCTGTTAAGCATAGTTGGGTTGTCCAACTTTGTTGGAAGAATTTTTCTGTTGACCTAATTGCTGCCTCTCAAAAGGGTGGATTTACAACAGTGACAGAAAATTCCTGTCACTGCCCTGAGTGTCAGCTCTGTTGCTGTGCTGTTGTATTGGTAGTGTAGTGTGGACATATCCTTATTCTGGAATACACTTGTCCTTTTCTGATTTAATCCTTTTTGTCCATAACAGTGTAAATACTGGAATTTATCTAGAAATAACTTTATTTAGGAACAGTTGGTTTGAAAAACTTTCAAGAGTCAGCAAGCCCTTGAGTAAAAGTGAATTGCTTTTTAAAAGTTTCTTCTCTGCCATACAGCTGCTGACTATTTCAGAAAATGTACAACATTTAAGGTAACTGAAATATGTTGTTTTAGCTTTTAACTTTAAATAGTTGAGGGTGTTGAAGCATTAATTGCAAATTGCACACTAAATACTAGTTTGAGAGAAATAAAGATTTTGTAGATACTTTCCATCAAAAGTATATTTGATTTGGGGGGGGAGAATGCTACCTCTAACTTATCATTGCGATTGAGTCTTGCAGACAATAAATTCCATTTGATAGCGCTTGTCGCTAATTTTATGGAAGAATAATAACTTTTGTGGGACATGCAATGCTTTCCTGCATCTTAGCTAATTTAGTTTGAATAGTATGTGTTTTAACTGTAGCCTTTTGATAGCATGTTTCAGGAAAACATTTTAGTTTACTCTAGATATTATATAGCTGTAATTTTTTTTTAATACTATGCTACAGTGAAGGGAGCAATAGCACACTCAGTACAGAGAAATTAGGTGCAGATAAGAAAAATAGTGAAGACAACAGGAAGGAGAGCAAATGTAGGATCACTTTCCACTATGGACCTTTCCAGGGAGCTGCCAGGTAAAATTGATTTAAAAAAAATAACACTACTGCTTTGTGTGGCTTTTTTTAACCTTTCTTGAAATAAACTTAATGTACAGTTCTTGTTTTTGTTTTATTGGTATTTTTTATGTTTGTTTCTGCAGGGGATGTTGGATGGATGTGTGGGAACTCATGTCTCAAGAATGCAGGGATGAAGTAGTTTTAATTGATTCTAGTTGTCTTTTAGAAACATTAGAAACATATCTGCGAAAACACAGGTAAGTTAAGGGAATTAAAACATTCTTTATCCTTCATATCCTACATAGTAGGGACTCTCTTACGAAATAAAATATACAGTTTTTGAAATTAAAGGTAAATTCAAAATGTTAAGCTGTGAGAATTTGGCAGAGTTCTGCAATATTTGTTGAGATACCGAAAATAAGATGGATTCCTTTCTCTTTGGTTACTTGATAGTAATATCAGTGATAGCAGGAGAACTGTGGACCCATAAGATTAGGCTTTAGCCGCCTTTTATTTATGATTTGCATGTAGTACTACATTGTGACTTGTATGTTAATTCTAGCTGCATAGTCACTTGAGATAAGAAGTGTATAAAAATGCCATTTTATTTCTCATTTAATAAAGTGCACGTTTTATTTGCAACTATTATACTATCATATGGCAGCTATTAGAAAAATATCAGAGGCCATTGACTTATCTGAGGTGTCTGCATTTGATTTGATGCAAACTATTCTTAGATGAGAATTTAAGAATCAAACTCCATGTGTACACACCCTGTATGCCTTTGAAATGAGTTTGATTGAAGAGTATGAATAGTACTTCTAAAACTATTTCCTGATCTGAGAGATTCTTAAATGGCTTACAGTGGCTACATTTATTGTGCTATAATTGACCTTTATAACTAGCTCTGGTAACTTAGTGTCTCAGTTTAATTGATATGTAATAATAAGGCAATCCCTCGATAGAACTTCAGACCAATTATTTTAACTTTTTAGATTGAGTGCATTTCAAACAAAACAATGTAGTTTTTCCTGTCGTTCTTAATAGAACAGGTAAAAATCAAAATATGCTTGTTTTGTGTGTAAAGTTACTAAAAACAGTATTTCCTATATATACATTTTAGCTCCTTGACACCATAATAAACTTGGTAAAAAGTATTTAGTTTACACCTTGCATTAGAAATTACATAAAGGAATTATTACCTAAATGTGCAAATACTTCACCTTTTTTAGAATCCAGTTGACCTGATTATTTATAGCAGTATATTTCTAAAAATATGTTCAATAATGCATTGTTTTGTTATAATATTTATGGGAGCTGCTAAGCAAACTTAAGAATTCCTTTCCATTTTAGAACTAATGTTCTTAATTTGGAATTACTTTTATGCTTATACTTCTGAAATAATAATGAGAACAATGCCAGTGGAAGCAAGGGGAATTCAGTTAAGTTTGCTAAATTAATAAACTCTAAGAATTTTAAAAATAATTTAATGATCCTTTGGTATCATTATTTCTAGTTCATAGGAAAATACAGAAAAGTCTTTTAATATTCTGGTCAGCGTAGCAATTGGTGTATGTGCATTAATCACAACTGCACATGTACGGCAACTATCTTACCGATGAAATTCTTCACTTTAAATCCAAAAGCACTGATCTATACAGGCAGTCCCCCTGTGTTCCCCCCCCCCCCCC